GGCGCGCCGTCCGTATACCGCGCATGCGCAGTTCCCTGGAGCAACATGGCGGCGCGCATGGCTGGTTGCTGGCGGCAGGTGAGGGCCGAGCCCATCGGAGAGGAGAGGTCAGCGAGCCCTTTGGGCGGGCGCAGGGGGGTCTCCTGCCCGCTGGCACCCGGCACTGGGGATGCGCCAGCTCCCGGTCAACTGGAGGAGAGCCCGGGTAGCTCCGTGAGAGCTGCCGGGACGGACGAGGGGCAGGAGCGGGGCCGGCCCCGGGGTGCATGCACCGCGCGTTGTCCCGGCTCGCCAGGGCTCTCCCGGAGCCTGCCCTGGTTTTTCCTTCTCTGTCTCTGCCTCCCAGCCACCCGTTTCCTGTCTCCTGTTGGTATTTCTGCCGTCCTTGCCTCTGCCTGGCTCCCTGTCCCTTTTGTTCAAGGCGTTCCTTGGCTCTGTAGTATCTCCTGAGCCTATGTTTATCCCTCTCTTTACCCTGCTCCCTGTCCCTCAGGTTAAGTTTCCCCCTCTGCCCCATCATTAGTTTTTGGTTTTCTTGGTCAGTTTTGCTCTGGGCCCCTGTTGTTTAAAATCTTAATTTCCTTCCTCTCTGCCCTGTGGTCACCTCTGAAGGTCTCTTTATCCAGCCGGCCCTGTCTGGCTTTTGTACTTCTTCCCTCTGTGCTCCACAGCCTGTTGCTTTCCTCTTATTTCTCACACTCTGGCTCTGTCACAGTGCCCGTCCCAGTGTTTCTCTGCATCTTCATTGTCGTTCCTGACCTTATTTTTTGCTTCTCTGCCTTGCCTCTAGTCCCTACTTCTGCTGCCTCTCTGCTGCTTCTTTCTCCACCTCTGTTGGGTTCCCTGTTCCCACCTTTCTCTCACCATGCCCTTCTCTGCCTCATGCCTTTTGGCTACACCTCACCTCCCATCCAGCCTTCTGTCTCTTTTCTCCTGTGTGCTTTGCTCCCCACTCCTCATTTTTGGCAGCCTCCACCTCTGCCTGGCAGCTCCTCCTCGCTCAAGGAGCTGGCCGCGATGAAGGCAGCTCAGGGAATGGCTGCTGCGGTGTCCCAGGCACAGGCCCCCAGGTCTGGAGCGCACCCACTCTTGCACCTTGTTAGGTGCGTGACTAAATAAACGCTACTCATCGTCTCCTTTGCCCTTCAGTGCAGTGTTTGTGCTCCGTCTGCACCAGGTGAGGGGCTGTGACAAGGCCTGGGGGAGGTTACACAGAGTGAGGGGCTGGTGATGGCCCCCTGGTCCTGGTGGGCTGCGGTTGGAGGAGCACCAGGTGCAGGCAGTGGGCTGATGACGATAAGCCCTCCTCCCTCTTAAGGAGGGCTGCCTTGCCCGGGGTGGCCATGGAGGGGATGGTGTGAGCCAGGGAAGGAGCAGCGCAGCAGCAAACAGAAGGTGAGCTGGGGCTGGGCTGCTGGAATGCGTGTAGGAGCTGGCAGAGTGGGGGGAGTTGCCTGGAGCTATGCTGTGGAGGAACTCTGACTTCCAGAGGGAGCAAACTTAGAACCCTTCTTGTTTGCCTGAATTCCCAAAGAAACAAACATCCACAAAGATACCTGAGAAAGGCAAGAGATTGAAGCTTCAAAAATTGTGCCAAAGGGGAACAAACCTCCCTGAGCTGGCTTTAAGGTTCCAGGATTCTGCGTAATTGCCTGTAACTACTAGAAACGATTTTAAAATAGAAAAGCTGGTTTATGTATGTAGTAATGAGAGCTACGGTTAAAAGCCTCAAGAAGCTAAACACTATAATTAAACTTTATAGAATCATAGAATAGTTAGGGTTGGAGACTGCAGAGAAAATGCCTCAACTTCTTCCTATAGTATTTGTTATACATTCAGCCAAATTGTATTTCATTGCAAGCCTCAGGAGAATCAGGATTTCCAACTGACTTTTCATCAGTTAGCATTCTGCAAATTAGAACTCGGATATTCTGTTTTACAGGAAGACATCAGAAGCATAAAGAATCTAATCAGGCATCTACAGGAAAAGAATATATGTTGCTTAATGACACAGCGTTTCTGAAAGGGCAGTTACTAATGTCTGCTTTCTAAACAAGAGATGCTACAGTTAGAGCGGACTCAAAATACCAATTCCTTTTTGACTTGGAGCAAATTAAGGAAGATAATGGTGGAAATGCATATCTGTTCTCTCATCTACCCTCCAGACCTCTGTGACAATACAAGCACAGCTGTTACGCAGATGAAAACATGAAGGCTCAAGACAATGTAAAAATAAATATACTAACACTGTTTCCATGGCACTACAACATTAAATAACATAAGAAGTAAGATATGCAGTACATGATCCTATTATTTATTTTAAGATGGTAAGTTCTAACACCTAAGAAAAACTAAGTATTTTCTGCTGGAATAAAAGAGGTTAGAAAGTAGTATGTCTTGCATAGTTCAGTCTTCCACGTAGAGGCTAGTTTTGTTGAAACCATATGGAAACAAAAAAGTCATCAGTTAAAACCAGAAATAAACACAAAACGTTCCCCAAATAAATGCTTGTGGTAATCTAATTTCTTGTAAACACTACACTCAACGTTCTATAAGAGAATGGCATATTAGCCATATGGCATATACCTAAATAAAAAACTGGAGGAAGAAGAGTCATGTTGAATACAAAGTATGAATAATTCAGTCTCCTACAGAGGACAAGACTATACCTAGTCAGCATGTTTAACTTTCAGAATTAATGATTATAAAGTTCAATCCGTGAAGAGCTTGGAATAACATTCCGACATCTAGAGTTCAAAATGAAACAAAGGGCCCACTGAATATGAAATCAGGTTAGAAGATGTTTATCAACTCTGTTACTGCCTGATATATACCAATGAGGGGAGGCAGGAAGGCATTTGTATCCCTAAGCACAGCATACAGCTTATAAATAACCCAATACAATTAGAATTAATATTCCTTGAGTTTGTTAGCTATATTGTAATTTCATCACTTACCTGTTATTACCATATATATGCTTTCTGGATACCACTTTATCAAAAAGTAGACTGTTTACCAAGTTTAATAAAACAAGAAAGCCACGAGAAGAACATGGCAGTAAATTTTTAAAGTCTTGTGCAGAATGTAGATTTTACAAAATAAAGGTTTCAGAAAACTGCCCTTCCCCCATCCACCACTCTAAAAAAGTGAAGGTTTTACAGTAAAAATTACTTCTCTAGCTTCCCACAATAATCAACCCATCTGAAGGTTCAGATGTAGCCTGTAAAGGCAAAACACAGTGTCCCTAAGAGCAGAAGACACTTCCTTCATGCTTCTCCAGCAACACACAAGAACCATTTCAGCTGTGACGTTTGCCTTTCTTTGACTTAAAAACAGAAAGGAACAAATGTAATAGAGTAAATCAAGGGTCTCAGACACAGATTTGTAATTTTAACACATTCAGCCTGATCTTCTTACAAAACACAGTTAATCTTTGAAAGCATTTCAAAACTTGCTTACCCAAAAGATAATTCAGTTTTGCTGACCCTAATTGCTTCCGCTCCTCGATGCTCGCTGTACTTCATTCCATTTAGTTGGGATATGCTGGTCACAGTTGGTATTCATGTGCACACTGAACTATACAAACACCTACAACTTTGGAGCCAGGCTCTCACAAACGCCATCAATTCATCACTATATATAGTCATATATATTGTGTGTATATATATATACACTATATATATATAAAACTATACACACACCTACAACTTTGGAGCCAGGCTCTCACATCAATCATCAATTCATCTCTCACTGTTACTTTGGTTTATAACCTAGTGCTCCCATAGGAAGAGGCCTGGAGAAAGCATCATGTTTCTAACACAACATCACCATCTGGTGACTACTGTGCCACTTCAACATATATACAGACTTTTCATGAAACAAAACATATGGCCCAACCAAAACTATTTTAAACATAGTAAAAAAAAAAACATGAGGAAAGAAAGTTCATGCATTTAAAACTTAAAAAGCTTGGAAGAACTATTAAACATTAAAATGTACAGATATTCTATAAAATAATTCTGTCATACACTAGAAGTTCACAATTTCTTTATCACTGTAAGGCTCCATTTCATAGCTGCTATTCATTAGACAAATACTATCTAACATTTTACCACTGGAATCTTTCAAAGAGAAGCTTCTGCTTATGTAATTTCATGCAACAAGTTTTACAGCATGAACATATTCCCCACTAGTCTTGTGTATACTAGAGAGGGGAATCACAGTAACACCTTTCAACAACAAAAGCATTAAAAGCATTGCTTGACAGAAAAGGTGTTAAAGATTACCTGGCCAGTGCAGTTAAAGCAATAAAGTCTAGGCCAGTATCAAAATAACTCATTTTCACTTCTGCTCTAAGAGAGATTAACCACAATCATCAGAAACACAATGAACCAGACTTTAAATCAAGAAATTCTTTATAGAGCAGGCATTTTACGTGGGTGATCAAAATGCTACAGTTCTTCAATAAATGTGTCAGAGGCTGGTTATTCATGTGCACGGTTTTAATTACTAATACAGCATTAGCTTCACCTCTCATTTCTGTGCAAGTATATTCCATTGGCACATGGTCAGCCAGCTTTTCAGACTATACTTTGCAATGTTCTTTCAAACACATTAAAGGTATTTTGGGGTTTTATTTCCATCTCTCGATACAAATGTAATTCATTTTGGGTATGTAAAGGACAAAAGAAAGCTAAAAAAAACCCAAAACTATGGTGATGATGAGGATTAGGGAATAAAGAAAACGAGACTTTTTTTTAGGCATCTGTTTCAAAACAGAAAAAATGATACAATCTGAAAATGTTTGGTGGGGTTTTTTTTAGTGCATAAGTCAAGATATCAGAAAGTGGTTTAAGAATATGACACAATACGAGAAATTGAAAGGAGGGGTGCTAGCTCTAGTTCTGAATCACTGTAAGACAAACAGAACTTTAGGAGTTTCGGTTTTAAGTGAAATTATTTTGGGGGTTTGTTTACCTGATCACTATCCACTAGAATAAGCCCCTCTGGTGATGAGCTCTGCACTAATGGTGCTACTACAGCAGAGAGTTTGATGACAATATAATGAGTCTGGCCACTATTTCCTTCCATTCAGCTACCAATATCAAAGTTAACTTAAAAAAAAAACCCAAACCAACCAACCAACCGCACAACAAAATCACAAACAAAAAAGAACACAACATGGATTAAAAATCATTTTATATTTAAAGAAAGAACTGAAAGATACTTCCACCACAGTATTCATGAGAACTACAAACGGTACAGTTTGAAAAGTCCTGAGTTTAACACATGCAAAGGAAGTATCCAACAGCTAGCTAAACAGTGCAGCAGCCAGTAAGAGCCCTAAAAGCCAGAGGTACTGCATTTCATTTCAAATAATACTGTATGCTTTTATGTTCTCCTGAATATAAAGCTGTTCCACGGTGCTTAAATAAAGAGTTCTGACTTACTATTTAGCAGTATGTTTTACCTACTTAAAAGGTAATTGCTGCAAAGCCCCAGTTATACAATGCACTTTCCCATACATCAGGAATGATGCTGCTGCTTGGAGCAGAGACTTCTTTCTTATCTTGAAACATTTCTTCTTCAGCATTCACCAGCAAAAGCTTGATAACTAAAATTGTTAGAAGTACACGTTTACATTATGCATACATATACTGTATTTTCTAAGAAACAAATTGCTTTAGAGAGACAGGAATAAAGCCTGTTTACATAACAATTCCATGGGAAATGCACATCAATTTCCTTATTTACACTTTTCATTCTGTTGTCATTTAAATAATACTTACTGTTTTCAGTTACCTAACCTCCAGAAATTTCTGTTATAGTCAATTTAGTCTATCTGAATTAAACAGCAGCTGTGAGAAACACAGCCCAGATCGTGTATGCAGGGACAATCCCACTGCTCATGATGAAGTTGAAGTTACCTACCACATACTGCAAGTCAGACTTCACCCTTACAGCCAGGTTAATACAAGACAGTTCAGCAAAATATTAAAGAAGTTGATGGTTAAATACTTGACTCATGCACTAGCCAGTAAAGAACCTGCCCAATGTTCGAGGATATATGTGTCTATTTTATTTATACCATGCAGCATCTCAGTGTTAGAACCAATTACAAACCGAAACAACAAATTATGGGTAAATAACAGGAGCATATAACAAGGAGACATGAGGCTACCCATGCATTTGCTTCATCTATGGCAACTACAACCATGTCTCAAATCATGAATCCTGAAAAAAAACCCAAGCCACAATCTTGCTTATTTTACTGAACTTCCATATTGATTTAATTAAGCTACTTAGCACCCTGGAATCCAAGAACCTGCTTTTCAATAAGTCTGCTGGTATGTATTTCTTAAGAAACACTTACTTTGTACACTGATCACCTTACACTCAAAATATGTGTGTATGTATTTAGCAAAGATGCAATTACGGATGCACTGAGGATGGGGACAGTCATTTATAAAGCAGAATTCAAATATGTTCCACTTCAGAGGAGAAGTGTTTTGGTTTCTGGTTTTGTGTTTTATTGGGGTTTTTTGTTTTGTTTTCACAATACTCTGGCTTATCTGCTAATGGACATCGTAGAGGAGCATAGTTTATCAGGAACCAGTATTTGTTCGACAATACTTAGGAATTTAAAAGTAACTTTTTATGAAGTAATAAACAGAAAAATCAGTACTGGGCAAAATTTGGGAGAAATCAAAAAAGACAAACAGATGATGAGATGAGAGACAAATCTGAAAGGAAAAGAAACACAGAGCTCAATTTGCTACAATGTGGGTAACCAAACCAAAATGCCTCAATTGTTTACAAAGGGAAGGCACAGCTAAACAAGTAGATTGCATTAATAACTTCTCTGATAGTTCATAGTCATACCCCTGAACTTCCCAAACACCTTCACCCATTAGAGAAACAAGGCTCCTTATGTGAGGGCAGAAGCTTTGAGAAAATATACAGGAGATGCTAGCGATGAACACTATTGCAGACAACTTTGACTTCTCTTTTTCATGGGCTATGCTTTCTACCTAACTCTAGTACCTGGGGTAATGCAGAACATTCACTTTTTGCAAAATTATTCCATTTAAACTATCTTTTATTACATACCTCTAAATTAAATGCAACATCATGTAGTTTCATCAACAACCCACTTGCCGGAACTTTAACTTCCTCAAAAGTACTGGCAAAACACTGGATCAAAGTTTGGACACAAGTAGAATAAATCTCCTGATTCAACTGAAGAACTTGTGCCTGGCCTCTTCAAAGAAATCAACGTCTCACATAGCTTTGTTGTAATTCTTTACAGAATAATCACTGTACTCACATTTTGCCTAGTTATACTAAAAGAAGCATTAAAATAAAATTCTGGCTAAAGCATTATTTTAATATTACTTACTTCTCTTAATGCCTTGTCTTTAAATGCCATGTTTACTGTTGAGAAAAAAGGTTCCCATATCCAAAATAAGTCATTCAGTAATACAGAAAGTAACTTGTTCTCAAAACCTAGCATCTCATTTATTCACATTAAATTCAGCACTAAAAATAACCTCTAGTTTAGCTGTGCTTAAAAATTCCTTTCCTGGAAGCATGTAATACCAGACAATCCACCCAAAAATGTTTAAAACTTCACTGTGTTTTGGGGTTTGGTTTTTGGGGGTTCTTTTTGTCCTAGAAATAACCCCTTCAAATGGAAGCCATTACTATTTTTTGCTTTTAATTTAGATTTAAAGGAGTCCTGACTTCTGGTGACTAACCTAATGCTGTAAAGAAGCCAGAAACTTTAAGATGTAAACAAGTGCACCGTGCACCACATTCCAGCATGGAACACAAAAGCAGCTAAATCTCCTTTATAGAAAGCTTCTGAAATCCTAAAGCTGCTATTATAAACAACTCTCAATACAACTATTAAATAAATAAATAAATCAGCAACATACCACAAACTCAGAATAAAATTAATATGTTCATGATTTACCAGGGGTTTTGAGAAAAGATCTACCAAGAAAGCATATTTAATTCCCTCTCAGAATCAGCTTAGTTACAATTTAAGGCTGAAAACATACTTTCATGTTGGCCACATGATCCCAAAGAGAAGATTTAGCAAGACCATCAATACTAACTAAAACTTCTTGAACTGAGGTTGTCATACCATTGTAAAGAATATTTAAAGTAACAGCAGTACCACATAATAAACTGTCCAGTTAAATAGTTCCTTATTTAGTATAATAATATAATGAGGCTATGTTATGCAAGCCTTTTCAATAAAGAGCTTTTATGGTCTCAATGTTCTAAATTACATATTATCAAGGTGTCAGAACAGGAAAAGGGGGTAAAGTTGTCCAAAAGTTTTCTTCATAATGACAAAAATTCATTGGAAAGCCTTGCTAAAAACAGGCTATACAAGAAAATCCCAATTTATGGAATATACTCAACAGGCCACAAATACCTGCATTTAATTCACTACTCCTTTTTCAAAAAAACCCCATTAATATCCTTCCTTCAGGTAAAAGGAAAGCAACATAGGAAAGGCCACAGAAATTAAGAGCTATGAATACAGTTTTACTTTGACAGAAATTTTCTATCTGGGATAAAGATTTTTCCTCTGTATCTCCCATTCCTGCAGCCATGAAATTAGTCTTCCACCTTCTGGAACAGAAAATATTTCTGCTGCTGTTCCCAAAATATTTAGTGCAGAAAATCTGGTTGGGTGTGATGAACCAGGAAACAGTACCTCAAAAAGTCTGCCACATACAGATGACATGAAATCCTGAAAATCACAAGAAAAAAATGTAGACAGTTTATTTGCTGCCCTATAAACAGAACTCTAAGTAACTGAATTCAGGACATTCTGCTTTACATGTTACCCCCCAAAAATACGACCTTACAGTTAATTTTGGAAGAATGGGAAGCCTACCTTCACAGTACTGACAAAATTCTTCAACAAGAAAAACAGAACCCAAGACAAGAAACAGTTTAACACAAAGAAACTGATATGTAAGCCTTCAAATAGGAAAAAAGGACAAATAAAAAAGAAGTCTTCAAATGGAAGTCTTTGTGCTGAACTCTTATCATTCCCTCACTGATCAGTGAGGAGTGCTAGAAGAAGGCTGAAGCTCAATGGATCTCTAGTTCAAGCCTAAGTATCACACATCATTTAAAATCTGCTATTAAACTGCCAGCAGATGACGTTTACCTGAAAATTTTAGTTTGCAGTGGGGTACATCTCCAGCCATTTCCCTCTTACTGATGTTTCAGTTCACACCATGGAGCAATCACTTGGGCAATAACGTTTTTTACTTCTGGATGAAATTAATCTTAAAGATACCCTCCAAATACTACAGAGTGTTAGCTCAGTTGTCTCGGTTTATGAGAAAACAGTATTACCTTGCAAAGTGCATACAGTGCAGATAAGGTCCTCAGCCCTGTTTTGCTTTATAGTTTTCTTTCTAATGCACTGAACTATTCCCTAACCCAGGCACAGCCTAACCTACCCTAGAGATGTTTTCAAGAACAATGAAATAGCTTTCAGAAATGCTATCCCACCTCTAGTATCTGTATCTCTAGCAGTTTAACTTATTTTATATTGCTGCAAAATCCCCAGAGCACGCCTTTTAGTTGAGTTTTCAAGTAACTCTTGCTTGGTTTTATTTTGCTCCAATTTATAAAGCACCTGTGAGCCGTCTTGTATCCAACAAAATAACTTTTAAAACAAAACCAAAACACAGGTAAGGCAAGAATCACTAACATTTAAATAAGCAAAGGGGAATTTTCAGCTTATTTTCCAGATCATTTTGCTTGTAATTTTTAAGAAGTTCACATACAGTGTAACACAGAACAGATCCTTCTCTCCCCGTTCAAAAACCAAATTTTTTGCTCCCCATCTCTCTTGTGACCAGTCTTTTCCTGCTCCCTCTGCACCTCCACCACCTTCTTCCATCTTCCTCCTCTAAAGTCATGCTGAGTCCTCTGCTCCCACCTCCTCATTTTCTGTGGAAAATTATACTCTGCGGAAATATATGTTCTCATTATATTCCTCTATAAAAAAAGCTCAATTAATGCATGTAAGTTTTACATGCTTCAGTGTCTCTTACACAGTTTGACTGAACTCAGAACTGCTTCCCCCAGTTATTTTACTACCCACTAGTATTATTTCTTTATTAGACTCCCTCTAACACAATTTTTCCATCTCATTCCTCAGTCTGCACCAGGCACAAATGGAAAGAGATGGACTTGTCTTCTGTTTCCACCAAACCTATTCCCCCATTTTTTCCTGTCTCAAATTAATTGTTTTCTCCTTCCACACTGCTTTCTTTTGCCATTAATATCTTCCAAAATGTTCTTTTTACACAAATGGTTTCCTCATTTTCTCCATGTTTTCTACTATGATCTACATTGCAATCTTGGCAACTTCCACAGTATTGACACACTCAATCCCTGCAGATCATAACACAGCACAGCCACGTCATGCTGTCCCCTTAATATTCCTTTACCTTGTCCTATACTATATAACTAACACAATAGGCACATTAGAGATTGTCCATAGTCCAAAATTACCTTTCTCAGCAAAGAAACTATCCGTTGTCTTACTGAAGGAGACTGGCTCTTCCAAGTTGTACATCATGAAAAACTGACACAGTTGCATTTCTTCCACAGACACCATTTCTGTGCTACAATGGTTTTCACATAGTAAACCTATGGCATCAATGAAAACCTGAAAAGTGTTTAGATATTCACCCCAAAAGAGTTACAGGCACCTATGATATCTTTGTTTTGAAATAATGTTGACACAGTATTTAGGATCAATGCAATTCTTCTAATTAAAAGACACAACCCCCCCAACATTGTCCCTTTACCTGATTGTGCTGATGAGCTACAACTATACCTGCTTTATACATTCAGTGGGTATGAAACCATTCCTCATGATATTTGAAAGTTCCAGGTGTCTGTGAGCCCTGGCTGTTCCTTAGGCATGCCATTAATGCTCCAAGAGTTCCTCTAGTACTACGAGAGCCTATGGAAAATGAAAACCAGTAATAATTATTGTTTCATTAACACAAACAATGTACTAATTGCAGTGCTTGTCAGAAACTCCTGATATTCCAACACATGACCCCTACCCAAAACGACAGCATCTGTCACAGATTAAACTACTTATAAATCATTCCCAGAAAGCACTGCCTTGAACGTGTCATACAAAAAGGGACCTTGTGAGGTCTCGCAAGCCCTTAAGAGTTACACTAAATTATGCCAAAAACTACATGAGAATCATAAGTCTTATATCCACATATTTGCAACAAAAAACAATCTGAAAAGCCCTGTCACTGGGCACACCTATGCAAGAAATACCAGCAGAACAGAAAAAATAATAGAAAAGAAAAATACTAGTATGTAACAAAGCTTGGTGTGTAAAGAGAACAGTAAGGCACCCACAGCTTACTAGTAAAACCACAGAATACTAATGATTTTGCTTATGGCATGAAGACACACTTATGATTATTATGAATTCCACTCTGAAATACTAACAGTGATAATAACTATCTGGAATTTTTTGTCCCAAATTAATTATAGATCAGAAATCATATTTCTGAGATTTAAAAATAATAATTACAAATACAGTATTTATTTTCTTACCTAGATTAGCATCTGCAGAAACCTGAAGAATGCTGATCATGTAGCTGAGACTGTCAGGGCTAGGTTTGAGCAATTCTGGTAAATAGTAATCTATCATGTAAGTACTTTGGTCATGGTTCCCTTCACACAATATTACTGGAAGAGAAACCCATATGTCATGCCACTGGTCAGTGCAAATGCTTTCCTGAAAACTCAAAGTAAAATGGGCTTTGTGATTTATAAACATGGTTTCCAAAAGATCACTAGGACAGTGATCCTAAGAATCACTATCTAGGATAGTGATAGCAAGGGACTGATCATTCATCATGTCTAGGATTTGTATTGGAATTGTTCTGTCCAATTGTAGTATATTTTCAGTGCCCACACTCTCCACAAGACAGCCAGGAGAAGTGTATTTTCCTTTGACATGCCATTCCAAACTTAGTAAATGCTTTATCAGCCTTACAAAGAATGGATGTGATTTTTCACCAGATCCAGTAATGGTGGTTCAGTGTTTCTGAAGAAGATTCATGAACATCAATTTGGTTTGGTGTCTAACAGCATCCAGAGGTTGTTCCCAGTGTGTATAAATGTATTCCAGAAGCTTCCCAATCACATGAGTTTCCATTAAGTTTGATTTTTAGATCTGAGGAGCCTCAAGAGCAGCCAATGCTGAATTAGTCCAAATAGCAAGGATTTTAGACAAAGGTATTGTCATATTGGATTCTTTTATCCTTTTAAAAAGAACAAACAAAAAAAGTCCATTATTACATTTTCAAATTAAAAAAAAAAATATTTTTTTTAATTTCAAAACAATTATTCATCACATTAGTTTACCTCACACTAAAACAGGTAAGGAGACACTAACAATGCATTGAAGGAAAGAAACTGATATAAAAAGGAGGTGATGAATTGGATGTTGCAAAGTGTATGCTTAGTTATGTCACATACTTTTAACTGGTCACAGCCAAACCCCCCTAAATATGGGGAAAATAAACCTGACAAGCCACTACATTTGCTATTTTAAAAACAAAACAAAAAATTACTATCTGCAGGCTAACAGTTTATTAAATGGAAGTAGATAATCCTTGCAACCAGAAAAAAAAAACAAAAAAACTCATCTTATTTCAACTGTTCCACTCACTGGCACACTTTCTTTTCTTCTGTACTTTTAAAATCATAGGAGGTGATGTCCTAAAGCTAAAGTTATCTGCTTACATAACAAGTGATTCTGCCACACCTTACCATCAGCTAGTTGGTAAACTAATCCCACTTAGGCTGGAAAAACTAAATTTCATTTTAGCACACAAGATAAAATGTAACTTAGATCTATGCAATATCAAGACATTGTATTTTTCAAACTTATAGACTTATTCTGAATATAAGAAAAAGATAAGACGATCTGTGGCAAAAACTAATAGCATTACACTGAAAACATCAAAAAGATGTTCCACCAGGACCATATGAACTATGCAAAAATATAAGTAAAAAAAACAATCAACCCCCTCCTCCCAAACATGAAACAATACAAATCAAAGGAGACGCTAACTCTGAACTCAAGGATGACTGATGTGATATCTAATAATAGTTTCACTCCATTTTCATCCATTCTGATATTCTTCCATTCTAGCATAGCCAGTGCTCCATGGGAAAGAAAGAAGAACCGAGTGAGGGAGTTCCTCCATACACAAAGTCCTACAGCTACTCACAAACCACACTGGCACACACACGTGTTTCACTGACCCAAGAAGCAAGTCACTGACCTGTAATAGCAAAAAAACCCCACCCATTACCATATCTCAGCACAAGAAAAAGCCATTTTGTGCATAACTGAGAATCTCAGAAGATCTGAGATTTCTTGTGAATTGTTTTTCTCAAATTCAAAACCCTACTCCTATTATTCCATACAGCAAGGGGAGAATAAAAAATTTGTACTGCAGCAAAGACTGATACAGACATTGGCCAGTCCTGCTGTCAGCATCAGCAAAGTCTCTGAACCACACGGGTAGCACTGATCAATGACACGATGACATTGCAGAGTCTTTAGCAAAGAAATACATTTATCAAGCAAAGTAAACTGGCTTCAACTGGCTCACACATAGATTTAGTAAACAGAATAATGGCCAGTCCAGCGGTAGCCTGAACAGTTTGCAGGAGTTGCTACATGGAAGAAAAAGTTATTTTACATTAGAGCGCAGCAAACACTGTGTACTAGAACATTAAAAAGATGGTATTGAATTTTCCTAGACTGCTTGTACTTGTATAATCACAAATCTGTAGTGTCCACCTGGATAGCAAGTATTCATGAATTTATACTCCAGTGTAATAGGAAACTATTAATACCCTTTATCAGATAGGGAATACAGAACTGCCCAGTAAGACACTGTGGCCTACTGACACTTACATTAAATTCTACTGTTCAAAAAAATCTGCATAAGAAGTGAACACAATTTATTATAGTGCACCAATAAACAGCTCTGACAGCATAATTCATACAGATAGATAAGATTTTGGTAGGTACAGACATTCGGTGAGTCTCAGAAGTATTTCTGTTAGTTTCTAATCTATCAGTAACAGCATTTAAGTTGGTTTTTTTTTGTTGGACAGTTAAACTGTAACTACAAAATCATGATCTACAAATCATAGTTTGCCAAAAGACCTACTATTGCTCTCACTCCTATTAATCTCAGCAGTTCAATTTCCACTAAAGCTAAACTAAGTTTTTATACATCCAGGTTGTGTTTACTACAAAGACAAGAAAACTGACCTGAATAAAAATACATGGGTTTGAATATTACTAAACTTCCCATCCATTAGGAAGTTTGTGGAGCTTCTCAGTAAACTACGCATACTTTGCCATACAAAAGACTCATGGTGTTTCCACAGACTTCCTTGGACACTTTAGTGTGATTTCTGTACAAGCACCATTGAAACTTTAATGGCCATCAGCAAGTTGTGCATCACCTGAGACAGAACAATACAGTTTCCATAATTTAAAAAAAAAGCATTCTTCATTATCTCCAGAAAACTATATTCTGCCAACTTCAGACAGAATTAATAGTGAAAACTTGTTTAATGTTCAATTTGACCAGATATGTAACTATAGAAAAACATGCAGCAGACGCAAGGGCAGCGTTTTAAAATGAAGTTTAAAAACGTAAAAACAAATTCTGCTACAGTTTCTGCAGGTTCCTGTGACGAAGTTTCATTCATTTGATTCTGTCTGAGCAGAGCTGACCTTTTCCAGAAACCTTCCAAAAAGACCAACGGAACACAGTGCTGCTCCTTTCTCATTTTTCAAGCAGCTCCTCCATGCATAAAGCTTATTTCTATGATTCGACTTTCTTCTAGCATGAAGACAGACAATACATAAGCTTTTAATGTACAAAACAGTCCATGAAGTATCCTTCTCCTCTGGTGCCACAGTGAAGAGGCGTCATGTTACACAATGCTGGAAAATGTCAAGATATTAAATAATGACTGCTGTGACAGGCTGAACAGAATATCAATACTGAATCAAACACTCATGGAAAATGGAAGAGTATTACTCTACCTGAATTTTAATAAGTTGTATTAATTACAGTGTTCAGTCACAATTCGGATAGCAAAACCACAACTCTCAAAGGCCCCCCTTAAAAGTAGTAGCTCTAGCACATACCAGTGCCTTACTGGTACTTTTACTTTCCTTCCTTGACTTTTTATTTTATATCATCATACTGCCACAAAGGAAACTCATCAGCAGCTTTTTCTAATTTAAAATATGTATAATTCTAAAATTACATTCCCATCTTTCATCACTGTATGGCCATCAAAGTGATAGCCAAACCATACCAGATTGTCTTGCATGAGTGAAATAAAACCAGAAACAGCTTACATTGAATTTACTTGCCTGTTTTCTTCCTGTACATCAGGTACTGACTTCTGGAGAAACTGAAGAACTAGTGATAATAATTATGGCATAAATTTATTTCAAAGTTAAATAGGACAAGAAAGTTCTATCACACATACACTTCACACCAGACCTAATGAACAGTTATCAATGTAGTGGTGAATTTAACTCCACAAGCAAACCTCATTTTACAACAACTTGGTACAAAACAAGAATTTCCAACCCATCTGGCCTAATCCGAGGCATTGAGAGTTCTGGTTCCTGAAACTGCCAAGAGTTAAAGACAGAGCAGCAATGAACGTTCCACAGTAAGCTGTGAATATTACCTGCATGCTGAGGGCACAGTATGTCACGTTATCGCATATTACCAGCGGATCAGACGTCTATCAAATTACTGGTAAATAACATTCTTGCCACAGCAGGCCTGGGGTTGCTACAGTCACTGCATATTAGTACCACAAACTTTCAGTAATTAAACTACAACAGTTTGTAGTGCACAAGAGATTACTCATTTCTAGGTAAGGAAAACATAAAATAAATAGATAAATAAATAAAGAAAGAAAGACAGACTTACTCTTCAATTTTTCACCTTGTGAACACTTTTCTCAAGGGATCCCTCACCTCCAGTGAAAAGTACGTCTCTACCAAAATACCCAAACAAGCTTTAACTATGGGATCACATGCAGAGGTTTGATCCATCTTTTTCACCAATGGCACAATCTGTAATCAACGGAACATGTGATCAACAAAAGCTGTAGATATATCCTCATCATTAACAGTGGCAGAATTGCCTCCCATGCAAGTATGTGATACAAAACTGTCCTCTCTTTACCGTATCCCATTGAGTTTCAGGTGTTGAATAATGTTTCAAGAACACCCCTAATACCAAAAATATATACATCCAAAGTAACAAACTTGTTATCGTTTGCCTTCCTTCATTTCTCAATAACTGTAGCCCTTGCCACTTTAAGCATTAGAACTACATAACAACTGCTTTTTACCTATTTCCAGGAACGTTTAAAACACTATAAAGTTCATTTTAGAATTGTGTTTTCCATTAATAATGCACATGACAGACTTTCAATTACCAAAACCTACACCAACAACACTGAAGTCTTACTTATTCAATACACTGGATGTGCTGGATGCCATTGCTCAGCTGTGAGCAGTGCAGAAGTAGAGATGCCAGGTTTTGCTCTTCAGCCTTTGAAAACCCTATATTTGGAAGAAGAGCCCCCTTTTAGAAAGGAATTATGATAACCAATATAAATAAGACATAATTTATTACAAGAAATCACTGGTTCTTAAAGGTTTCTTTCCTGTTCCAATAAACCTACTAGTGCCACAATTCCTCACAACACCTTAACAACTTTTTTTTTTCTAATATTAAAAAAAACAAAATACAAGTTTCATTGTAATTTAACAGTAGGCCTCATCTTCAGTATGACAGTTTCAGTATGACCAGTTTCACAAAGTCACAGCATGGCTGAAGTTGGAAGTGACCTCTGGAGGTCACTTGGTCCAACCCCACTGCTCAAGTAGGGTCACCTAAGGCAGGCTGCCCAGGACCATGACAAGACAGCTTTTGAGTACCTCCATGGACAGAGACTTTCCAACTTCCCTGGGTAACAGCACTATGCCCATGCTGTCACCCTCACATTAAGAAAGTGCTTCTTGATCTTCAGAAGGAACTTCTTGTGCTTCAGTTTTTGTTCATGCTGTCCCTCATATCACTGTTCAACATGGCAAAAAAAGCCTGGTTCTGTCTTCATTACACCCTTTCTTCAGATATTTTTTATACATTGATAAGATTCCCTGAGCATTCTCTTCACCAGGCTGAAGAATCCCAGTTCTCCCAGCCTGTCCTCCTAGGAGGGATGTTCCAGGCCCTTCACAATCTTAGTGGCACTCCATTGGACTCTCCAGTATGCCCACATCTCTCTTGTGCTGAGGAGCTCAGAACTGGATGCAGCACTCCAGGTGTGGCCTTACCAATTCTGACTAGAAGGCAAGAAACACCTTTTAGTAGTTGTAGTACATTAATCTTGTATGACTTGGTTTTGGGTTGGTTTTGTTTTGTTCAGGTTTTTAAAAAGTAAAGATCACTGGAAGCTTCTGTCATCAAAGAACAAAAAATCCCCCAACCACAAAATTAAAAGCGCACTGGAACAGTATTTTTAGATCAGCTACATAAGTCCTGTCCTGAAGTGATCTTTATTGCACTATCTGTACAATATTCTTTTTCAAGATAATAGCTCTCCTCAATTTTATCAACTATTTCAAGCATTTCATCCAAGATTGACCCAGACTTCACAGCAAAACAGGGAAGTCATAAAAATCAGGATTTGCTGGATGAATGACAAACTGTCTCACTGGAATCCCCACTGTACCTGTTACACAGCCCGTGGCATGCCCCTGGATTAGAGTTTGGAAATATGCAAAAGTATGGGAATAACACCCCAAAACTTCTCTTACTCTGTTTTACTGTTCAAAATTCATTCAAGTTGTATTAATGTGAAGTTAGAACTGTGTAGCAAAGCAGTTGTGTTTCTTTAGAATGTATCAACTAGTTCTGTGCTTTCTATTAAGGGTGTTACAAATAGCAAGTGGTACCGTCAATTTCATGTGCACTACAGTTTCACTGATTTAGGAGCTCACTATCACAGAGCAGCTGAGTCTGGAAGTGACCACTGGCAGTTATTCGGTCCCACCCCCTACTCAAGCAGGGCCAGCTGGCACCCATTACCCAGGACCATGTCCAGGTGGCTTCTGAGTTTCCAAGGCTGGAGACTCCATGGCTCCTCTGGGCAACCTGGGTCCACAACTGGGCACCCTCACACCACATCTGGTGCTTCTTTGTACCCTCCACCCACACAGTTATACACACACACTGGCAAGATCCCCACATCTATTATCTAGCCCCGGCTGCCAGTGCTCAGAAAGCACAACTCGTTTTGTTTACTTCCAAGACCAGATGGCCTCCACCTTTCCCCCAGGCAGCGGGCACCACACGAGGGCATCCACCAGCGTGCCGGTACTCAGTCAGGCAGCGGGGTCTGTGCCCAGCGCGGGTAACCAGCTTCCAGCGGCCTCAAGAAGACAACAGCCCGATTCACGACACCCCAGAGAAAGGTGAAGCAGAGCCGCACTGGCGTTCGAGTGCTTCACCCTCCCCACGATTGCCCCAGACAGCCCAAGTTTACCCGCGCCCCGCAGCACCTCAGGAGCACCACGGGGCCTCTCCCTCCCACTCCCACTCCGGAGGCTTGACGGCGGGCAGCAGCGCAAGTGTAAGCCCGACGCCGGCACCCATGGAGGCTGCGGGCCGGAGGAGAGCTGCAGCAGAGGGAAAGGGAAATACAGAAAAACCCCTTACCTACCCTTACGGGCGGATTCTCCCCCTGGCATACCGAACTGCCCGCACCACGTGCCGTCCGGACACAGCCGGAGCCACCCGCATCCAACCAAGGCCTGCCTCTGGGCCGTGCTTATTCCCGGCTCCGCCCGTCCCCGCCCCTCTTCAAAAGCAGCTGGACTAACTCATGGACGCAACAAAAAAAACCCAAACAACCCAACCAACCAAGCAAGCCAGGCAGCAAATGTTTCGAAATACAGAACTTCTGGTTTGGAAGTTCCCCAAACCAGAGGAACTGGAGACTGGGACAGTGTTCTGCGGGAATGACACTTGCCTTCTCAGGGCGCTAGCTGAGGGCAACAGCTCAGCGATCAGATCCCACACTAGATGACCCCTGCTCTGACCAGACACAGCCATTTTCACTGTGATGTCCTGGATGTTTCTGCAACTAATCAGGACTATTCTTCAAGGCAGTGGATTTATGTTCACAGACTTTACGGGTCTGACAAATCAACAACCACCAGTGAAAATCTCAGCGGAAATATTCTAATCCACGCTGTTGAAAACTTCAAGCTGTAAATTCTAGTCTTCTTGAGCTATACCTATACCCAGAAAGTAGAGTATTTTGAAGTTTCTTTCAGAGGGAGATGATGAACTCCTAATTTGAAAATTCCCAGAAACGGATTATTTAGAGCAATCTAGAATTTTACCACTCAGTGGCGCCAAACCATTAAAAAGAGGTTGTGCATGTAAATAGAAGCCACGGACCTTCTTTTGAGCCATGCTTAGGCAGAAAAAGCCTTTATGAGTAACCGAAGTAACCGTAGATTTCTTCATTCAAATGTACCGAAGCACAAATACTAAAGGCTGTTTAGATAAGATGCCATTTTCTTCTGTCACCAAAAGACAAGCCACAGCCTTGAAAGAGCAACATTTTAAGACATGTTAGGGTGATAACACTGCACAGGAATGATCTTTCTCCCTCCCCATCCTCCATTAAAACTGGTTTTAATCATGAAAGATCAAGACACTTTTTAATTAATTTGAGCAGCACCTGAAGATGATCTATTTATTTATATCACAGTTTCGTAATTGCAACTAGTACAAACAACATCATGGGAATCTTTACTGCAAGTCTCAAGTAGGTATGTTATCCTTTCAAAGAACCCAGTCATCTTACACAACTTACACATCTGTAAGTTCATTTCTTTGAAACTAACTTGCTTTCTCTAAGTTCAGAGAAATGAACTCACAGATGACATTGTATAATCTAAGATTTTAGGATCATGAGATGTTTTCTGGGATGTATTTCCTAAAGTAAACATACCTACCAGTCTGAAATACCTAAAGTTATATGGTTACAAGACTTATCTATGTGAGAGAGGACCCAAAAAGGCTCTCTTTGTCAAGATGAGGGTAAGGTTCTGACTCAGTATTGTCAGAAACATATTCTACATAGTAGGAGAGCCAAAATTCTTACGTTCTAGATGCAGGTTTGATAACCACTCTGAAATCAAGGAAGTGGCATTTTCTGGATTAGCTTCCATGCTCTAGAGTAGATGTTTTGCAATATAATGTTCATACTTAAAAACAAATGATGTTATCATTTTAATAAGATGATCGGAAACGTAAAACTTATTTTCCTGCATTAAAGTCAGTTATGGACAGCAAAAAGCACACAACCTGCACAACTTCAGCCATCTAGAGCTGACAAGAGTCCATATTACAGGGGCAAGTATTTCATGGTGTTTTGACTTCATTTTACTTCTGTAGTGAGCCAGCTAACAGATGAACATTCCAAGGTGCAAATACCTGGTCTTGCAGTTTGCTTCAACAAGGCATTGTGTATCAGTTCCTTGAATTTTCTGAAAATATTTGCAAGACCCCACATTGGATTTATTACTGCTTGTGTGTAACTTCAATCAGTGACAGCAGCAAGGAGAAACGCCTCTCTTTTACTGTGACTGCACTTATATGCACAGTAGTTCTCTGTGTCTTTGCTGGAAGATTTACGGCTTCTCCCCTTGCATTCTAATTACAAAACAAAGTTGTATTTTGTTCTGTGTCCTACTTCTACTGGTGGTTTTGTTCCCTTAGTTAATGAACACAGGTTCTAGTCACTTCTACATACTTTACAGGTAAGAGCAGGCAAGAGAAAATCCTGTGTAGCACTATTCCTTCTTTCAGAATACTTTTTTCATGCCTCTTAGAGTATTGAGAGCTGCGTGACTGCAGAGCATTTTTATTGTCTAAGGCTAGAGAAAAGTCAATCCACAAAACAAACTGAAACACTCGTTTAGTGAACAGGCTTTGCTCTCCCTCTTGCGGTCTGAGCACGCCATTCATGCAGCCTTCGCTTTTCCTGAGATCGCTGCACCCTGTAGTCACTCTCCGCACTCTGGGGAGTATCTAGAGGGAATGCCTTACTATGAAAGCAAACTATGTGGCCAAAGAGTTCATTAACACCAAGGCTAAATAATTTTGTATAATGATTGTTAGGAACCAAATGATGATTTCTATTATTTTGGCTAAATCTTTATTTTCCCCCCCCAGTTAATTTGTTTTTAATGTAGAACTTTCTGGACAGGAGGTATCAGATAGAGAACAGTTCACTTCTTGGTATACCAGCAATCATGTTCTGAACACATTTTTCAATGACGAGTGTTTAAAAAATACATGAGGCACTTAGGAAAGTACCAGCAAATGAAACACTGCCAGTTAAGCTGTTTGGATACTTTAAGGTCACTGCAAATGAGTTGAAAATGGGAGGCTGTACTGAATTGAATAGGAAAATACTGAAATTGTGTGTATAACCAGATGGGGAATATCTGAGCTATTACAGACCTTTTTTCTTCCCCAACAAAAAACTTGCACTTTCCCTGACTCACAGATGACTGTGAAAGAATAGTTTACACAAAACAAATCTGCACCACTACATTAGAAATAAACTCCGGGAGAACGGCAGTGAGGTTTGTTTATGCATCAGAAGAATCTGTAAAACATTTTTGCCTAGAACATAATCTAAGCACAACAGAATCCCTAAATCTCAGCCCAAATCAAAGTGTGTATGAGGAAGACCCCTATACATGCCAGACAAGGCTTTTTCCAATTACTTTTTAATACTTCAGACAGCATTTTATAGGAGACTGCGATGGTTGATTACCTGAAATGTACTCGCAGCAGTTTCAGCCAGAGGGGATGAATAGCATGCATCAATGTGACCCATCCGCAACTGCACCTGCCGCTAATGCATCCCATCTAGTACTGAAGTTTGTGGTTACCTATGGGACACAGCAGCTCTGCAAGCCCCATTCATCCCATCATACTCCCACCATCACCCCGGTGCCTGCTCAGCTCCAACCCTCCCGTTTATACTTGACAAATGACCTTTCACACAAGGTGAAACTCAAAATGCAGCAAGCCCTGATGCTGGGTCTGACAAACTTCAGAACCAGCAGATGCGGCTTTCCTCACCTAGTCTCCCCCTCAGGAATTCACAAAATATCAGAGGAACAGGTACAGTATTAAGATACTGGGATGGGTAAGGGGAACAGTCAGGCCATCCTCTGGGACGCGGGCAGCAGAGGGAGGCCAAGGTCGGTTCGGGTCCGGTGCCTTGCAGCCCCCACTGGGACCTCTCCGCGGGGACTGCTGCCTGTGTCCCGCCATTCATCCCGGCCGGGGCCAGGCCATGCGGCGGTGCGGTGCAGGAGGGGGGGTCCAGCGCCTCCAGCCAGCCGCTACGATACCCTCCGGCAGGCGCTCCCCGGGGCAGCCCGTCGGGGCGAGAGCACGCGGCTGAGCCGGCGACCCGCAACCAGAGGCCACCCGCGGAAGAAGCGGCGGGACAGAGGCCACAGAGCCCGTCCCGCATCCAGGACAGGCTCCTCCAAGTCCCCCCGAAGCCGAGCTGCGTCCCCCACTCCCCGCCGGCTCCCGCCGCCACTGCCGAGCCACGCAGGCCCCGCCCGGGCGCCCCGCCGGGGGCGGCCCCGCGATGCTCAGTGGCCGTGGCGGCCGTCGCTCAGGCGGCCGCGCCGCTCGCCGCAGGGATGGTGGGGCGGGCGCCGAGGGGCGCGGGCAGCCGGGGCAGCGCAGTGCCCACGGTGCGGACGGGACCCAGCGCGGCGAGCAACGCCCGGCCAGGTTTGACCTCCCTTTCCTTGCCCCCTTCTTTCCCTCGGCGGGCGGGCGACAGCGCCCGGGCCGGCCTCCGGCTCTTCCCCGGCGGGGCAGCCGTGGGCTGTGGCTCCCCGGTGGCGGGGCGCTGCGGGACGGGACGGCACGGCACGGCCGGCGCGGTGTGCCCGGGTGGCTCCGTCGGGTGGAGGGTGGCGTTGTGTTAGGTCACGGCCGTGTCGTTGGCTGAAGTCCCACGGCAGGAAACTGACGAGCTTGAGG